ACCTGCAGAAGTGGGATTTTCATTCACACACACCCATTCTTTGTCCATCGGATGAGCCTATATAGACTGGGGAGAAGTGGAACCAACGTAGAGAATATATCAGGGGTCTCCTACCAATTCTCCTCAGACTGAAGAAGCTCCTTGGATGAGTGGCGAAATGTTTCATGATAACAAGAAAGAAGTCCAGTTGCCATGACTCAACTCCCAGATAATTTCATCTGGATGACTGCGAATCTTCACAGATAAATCCATAGGGAGATGTTTACAGGTAACTCCCAGCCAAGAGAGATGGAAGTAAGGTCAAGGCACATAACCAGGCAACGTATATTATTCCTTGATACCTATATGGAAGATGTGATGGAGACTGTAGCGAACAGCCCTGCCCTCACCTGTCCACCACAGCAGAACAGTGGAGTTGAAGCCAATGAGAGGACAGAAGGTGGAGCCAAGGGGGGAGGGAGCTGGATATAAAGGCTGGTGTATGGAGTATGAGGAAATATTCTGGTAGTGAGAGACAGTGTGAAACTTAAAAGTGAACTAAGAGTGAGTTAGAGATCTGTGAGAACGACAAATGGAATAGAGAGGTAAAAGAGGTTTAAAGTTATAGCAGTTTAGATTCAGATACTAGTGATTATCAGCCTGTCATTTACTTATTGAATACTAATCATATAACTTCCCTGACCTAATAAATGACTTAACTTTTAAAAGCACACATGTCTCCATGATTAAGTGGTATTAATGCAGTAATACCTGGTGGCAGCGAAGAAAGAAGAAGGGCGAGAATCTCATGAAAGCCTGAGGGAATAGGGGCTTCAGAGGAGATCGCCACAGAGATCTTGCGAAAACAAATGACACTGCATAGCCTGGAATATACTGCAAATAAATCAACAGGAAAGTGAAGGACCTTGGTATGAGTGGTGTTTTTGTTACTCCTTTCAGGTGACCATAACTTAAGAAGACAGAAAAATGTATTTGAAATGAATTATTGACCACACAGGTTGTGTAGAGTCTTATTACCTTGAAGTAAGGTAATAAGACTCCGTGATGAAGGAAATCTTCATCATGATGGAGCCCAAAAAACCCACAACAACCATGAAGGAAATCTGTTAGAAGATGAGGTTCACCACACAGAGACAGGGAAGAATTTGTTGACAGGAGATCACAAGGATCAGGAAGGCTGATGGTTGTTGTGGGTTTTTCGGGCTTCTTGGCCGTGTTCTGAAGCGAATACATCAGGAAGGCTTTACACAAAATCTTACCAAAAAGGACTATAAACTCTCCAAAGACAGCATGATGGCAGGGGTGGAAAATAAATTAATTGGATCTCATATACCTGGCCAAAGTGCCTGCTTTAAATCTTTTGATACTAAAAAGATTATTCAGGCATTTGTGAGGCTTACCTTTCAAAGAAATTAAATGTACACAAAACAAGACACATTTTAAAATGTGAACAACTAATTGCATAATTGAAAAAACACACCAAACATACTTAATTTAGTCAGGAAAACATGTCAGTTAAGCAAAATGAAAAAAAAAGTGCAGATTAGAAAAAATGCACAAAAAATGTTACAATTTTATATGGAATATATACAGGAAGAAAACATACATGGGATTTTGAGAAGTGCAGTCAAAAGCCTGAAATACTTTTATGCCTGGATTACTTCAGATATCAAGGACACATAGGTGAAACCATGCAATGTCTTGGGGAACCATAGAACATCATCATCTACTGGCATTTCCCATGACATTCCTAAGAGATTTTAAAACCAACCAGCAATTGCTGCTAAGTGCAACATCTTGCTTTCCTTTAACATTAAAAATAAAAAGGTGAAAAAACTCTGCAGCTGCCACACAGAATTGTTATGTCTGCTTCTCACACAAACACAGATATTTTTTGTCGCACACCTAAATGTCTTCTTCCACCTTCAGATCTTCTGTGGATGTTCATTCTCATGGTGAACAATTCCAATCCCAAATAATTCTTAACAGTTAAATATCTACAGCAGTTTCAAATATAACTTAATCAAAAGAGACAGCCCCAATGGACAGGAGGCAGGACTAGCATTGCATGTAAAGACCACAAAAGATCACATTTGAGAGCATCTGGGTAAGGAAAGGAAATCTAGATAATATGATTAAAGTACTAAACTGCAATTAAGGCTGCATGCAGAACTGCATTTTGAAAGAAAGAAAGAAAAGCAGGAAATAACATCTACGTCTTTAAGTAACTTTAAATTAAAATAAACATGAAATAGCTGCTGTGAACCCAGGGAAGTGGTTGGGAAGCCATGCCATGTTTTCTGCCACTTAGGAGTAAGCAGGCAGCCCTGAGCAACCAAACCAGATAAAGATGGGTTCTGTGTTCCACAGAGATCTCCTAATCCTGATTCTTAGATGATGTATCTGAAAATTAAGAGGGAAGAGATAGTAAGGGGACACTGTAACTCCACTGCTATCTGGTGAAGGTGAAACACTGAGGAGAATGAAAAGTATAGGCTTCTGACCTGCTGAGAATTTTATTGTCCAGATGGTGGAAGACAAAATAAAGGATTCAGCCACCCTAGATCTCATCCTTACACTAACAGACAAAATCTGTTTAAAGAAGTGAAAATACTGAGAATTTTGGATAGAACAGAATGCATAAACATGGGCTTTGTCCTGCAGATTAAATAAATAAAATATTTTAGAAAAGCTAATTTTTATAAGTCCCCCCACTCAAAAATGAGCTAAACATAAGGAAAAGCTTCTTGAAATACAAGCTGGAGCAGACTTCTTTTAAACATGGTACAGTACATTTTCTCTTTGAGTTTATTGACAGGGGTTGGAAAGTGACCTAATAGATGCTGTTGTAGTGATAGATTTTGTATATCAGCTTAAATGTAAACTAATTGATGTTTGGGATTCCCTCCAATTCTATGCTTTTGAGTGAGTCTATTTTTCAGGAGGAGATATGAAATTGACTAAGGTTCTTTGTCTTTATCCATTTTTCTCCATAGTTGTGAATATATTGGTGATTATGAATTCAATTTATTAGATGCCTTTTTCTGACTTCACTCATGTCATGTCAGGAATATTTTACTCTTAACTTAAATTGAAGTTGTACCTACACCTTATATGAACAAGAAAGAGCTTAACACTACATACAGAAGAATATACACAGACCCGTTTAAAAAAAACTTTTGTTCAACAAAGATTCTTGAGATACAAGTTTGAAATAACATTTATTCCAGAGTAGTGATGATTCGCTTTGAAATACTTATACTGACTGGAATAATACAAAATGGCTTCTTTTCTCACAACAACTATAAGAGAAGTTTGACAAAAGTTGGTATCAGTCAATTTGGAAGACACTCCACTCCCATCAGATTTTAGGGTCAGCTTTTATGTTTTTTGCCAATAAATGTCCCCAAACTATTTGAACTGTTTGAAAGCACCTTATGCCATACATTGGTTATAACATTGTAGTGTATTCTAACTCTGAGGTGGAAAATATATAAGCCATGTCTGGAATCTACTAACTGCAATAATCTTTAAATGAATGGTTCTCGATTAAAAAACCTCTAATTTCTCTATTTTTTCCCATAGGTTGGCTTTGGGAATTGATTCCCCATTGGTGAATATGAGGAAAAATAATAGAATGGAATGTGTTTTCCAATGTAATTATTTCAATGGCAGCCGTATGATCTAGATATGGTTGTGACTGCAGCCATCATTAACTAGTTGCCTGAAATATCCCAAATTAAAATTTCACATATTTATGGGAGGATTCCCAGTGTGGTATAGTGACAGACAGGCTCTGGAAAACAGGGTTTGAATGTCCACTTGGCCATGGAAACTCGCTGGAAAAGTGGAAGTAGTAAAGCCACTCCTTAAATGTCTCATTTACCTTCAAAGCCCTATTGGTCAGCTATCCATCTTTTAAAAATATTATTGCAGAAATAACTCAAAATAGAGTCATAATACTCATTTTATGTGAATACTGGCAGTTTTTAAACCGGTTCAGCTTTGATGGATTCATGCCAAAGACTTATGTTCTGGTTTTTCCCATTGTGATGCTTCTGGAGTTGTGCAGATTTCCCTCTGTAAGATAGTGGACCTCACCAATATTGGTTCAAGTATATAGCATTAATTAATTGGGGAATGCAATAATACTGCACAGCATTGCATGCCTTGGAAGAGTTACAGTTTACAGGTCTGGATGATTCTTTCAGAGAGTTATCCTTCAGACAAATTTTGCAGTTTTTCCATGTGCATCTTTTTTCTTTCTTTTTTTTTTGTATCACAATGTTTTACTTATTCACTGGGCTTTCAATAGAGAATAACATTAATCCTGTTAAGCTCCTTATTCTAATGATTTATTTTGTTGGAAACCATTGTGATCCTTCTTTGAATTTTAATGATTGCTGGCTATTCAAGGATTCATTGTTTTGACTTCCTGTCCTTACCTTTGTTTCTAACATGTCTGTAGGGAACACCTGTCTCATACTGTATCTGGCCTTGGTTCTCACTGGCTTACTATATTCACTCAAGCCTATCTTAAAGCGTTATGTTGAAATGCTAGCTACTCATGCATGAAAATAAACGTAGGATATATATTTGCAGAGATAGGCAGCTAGGCAGCAGAGGGGTAGCTAAAGAGGTTGAGTCATTTCTCTGTGAAATAGTATTTTTGGTCCAAATAATCGCACATAATGCTCATTACAGAGAGGTTTGCAAAATATGTTAGCACTTTAAAAACCATCAAGCAACTCCATATATAATTCCCTTGTTGCATATTTTTAAGAAAGTAAAATATATCTGCTGTTGAACTTAACATAATTTGCTGAGATTTAAGCCATGACTTTATACAGTACTGGAGTTGAATTTCATCTGTCCTGCTGAACTAAAGAATATCTTCCGCAACAGGGCTAGGAAGATCATGGGTTTTTGAGAATATTCTAATATAAGATTTTAACAGCTATACCCTATTATGCATAATACATTTTGTTCCTTATCTGCAGCCTCTTGGATTTTGATTCAGAATACCAGGAGCTGTGGGATTGGCTGATTGACATGGAATCCATAGTGATAGACAGCCATGACCTGATGATGTCAGAAGAGCAGCAGCTGCATCTTTACAAGGTTAGAGCTTCCGTTACTGCCTTTACCTAACTATAGAAGATCTGATTAGTTTGACAAGTCTTTCTCTCTCAGGATAGCCCTGCGTTCATTGTATATATCATGGTGTCTATTAGAATTCCCATCCTTGTTCCCAAACTCATTTCCATTCCCTCTGTGCTGACAGCCTGCACCAACATCATAATTGTAAGGAAGTTCCCTTTATCGCCGTCGATTGGGTACCATTCTATAGGAGGACAAAGATTTGTCTTTGTAGTGAATAGAAATAGGATAAAACTGCATTTATGGACTGAAACAAAATGGGGGGGGGGAATGATAATAACTTTGAGATTGTTTTGATTGGAGCTTTCTTCTGGATGTTATCTGTGTTTCACACCTCTTTAATAAGTGGAAAATGCCTTGATGTTAATTTATTGATTTTCAGCATAGAGGGATTTTTCCCAATTTAATTTGTGTTAGTTATCTGGAAAGCTGCCACTGTGGGCTCTTTTTAAGAAGAAAGGCAGGATAAAAATATTTTGAATAAAATAAATATAAATAAATTAATTTTATTAAGACAAAATGGTCCATGTGAACTAAGCGTAGTACTTGTAAACTTTGTGCATGGATTACAGATCTTTTGTTTAATACAAAGACACAAAGAGAAAAGGCTAGAAAGCAATTGCTTTTTCTTACAGTTCTACAAGACAGGGCGGCTGTTAACGTGTGCTAAAGACAGCATTAAGCTAACTTCTTCAGAGCTGTAATTTCACCTTTAGCATCAATATGAGCCTTTTGTATGTGATGTGGAGATCCTGGGGAGGGTGATTTGAGATGTGGAGGAGGGGCTTTATGCAGAAATGTCAGGATGCAGTAAATCTCTCTCATTTAGGCAATTTTTATTGGACTAATTCTGACAGTTGTCATCCTTGAATTGCTTTGAGCATATGGCATATCTCAAAGAGCAGATTGTGAATCATAAAAAATAAAATTAATAACTAACCACAGAATCAGCAACGGTATAATGACAAGAAACAACTACCCTCTAGCTTTTAAAGAATTCGTTGAAAAGAAAAGATACACTCAAGGTCAAATAGAAGTTGTTTTCTTTCTTCCCAGCTTATATGTTTGCTGGTTTAATAAAACATGTTTCTGTTTCAAAATGGCATTAATTCAATGTAGTTTTTGTAAAGCTTTCTCCACCAAAAAAAAAAAAAAACCTTGAATGGAGGAAATATTTACTGTCACTTGTGCTTGGTATATAGAGCCCTTGCTTGGCATGTGCAAAGTTCTGGATTAAATCCCTCTGCAAGGCTAGGAAAGAATTCTGTGGGAAGACCTGGAGACAGGCTGCTAGTCAGTAGCAACAGTTATGGGCTTGATAGGCCAATATTACTCAGGATAAGATGCCTTGCTATGTTCTTACATTGGTAAGTTAGTAAAGCAGCTCCTCTGAGTTCTATACAAACAAAATAGTAAAACGTGTGCCACACACAAGCATTTTACTCTGTACTGTAAAAAAAACTAGGAAAAAAATTACTCTGAATCTGAAGAACCACTGAACCATCAAAGTAGTGTATATGGCTGTCCACAAAGATCATGATTACTCTGATGCATGTCAGAGTATACTCTCATATATGTTGACAAGTACACGCAACTACCAGATAAGATGTGCCAACAATATGCAAAGCATATACAAGAGATAAAAGGCTTGTGATACCCTAAAACAATTCAGCTTCACCACACAGCAGAGCTTTTTCAGTGGTGGCACCCTTCCATCACCTCTTGTTGCCTCCACAAATTCTATCTTTCAAGATTTGATTGCCACATTTTTCATCACTTTCATTGTATTTTATCTGTAATTTGTGGTTTTAAGTAGTTTTAAATTGTGATTGTCACTGTATGCTTTAACTTTGATTGTTAACTGTCTTGACGTCCTGTGAGGAAGAGTGGGATATAAATCATATAAATGGCTGAAATGGAAAATATGGTAAAAGCAGAAATATGGATCACTGAAATATCATATTAAAAGAACTTCCACTATCTTAACATGAGTAAATACTTAAAATAAGATGTATTATTATATATAAAGTA